AAGGGCATATATGGCCGGCCATTCTGCTGGGATTGCTGAACAGAGTTCCAGATAGTACGTCCTTCGGACTGCGACAAAAAGGTGTGAGAAAGTGAGAGCACTAACTTTAGCAGCCCCATACCCTAAAAGCTCTAAACCCTAGCAACCCTAAAACCTAAACACTCTCTGCGCCCAAGGAGTTGCTTGGGTGGGGCGACAGTTCCACTTCTTCTTCTGCCTGTCCTCCTACTCCTCCAGCATCCGTCCTCATCCGCCTCTTCCTCGTCCGATTGCGCTTCCTCTTCCCCTCAATCTTCTCCCGAGTGAGCTTACCTGTGTCTGCCTTGCCGCTTCTCTACCCCTCCACCCGCTGCGGCTTTGGCCCCTGCTTTTCCTACTGCATGCTTCTAGCTGGGCCGTTTGGGCTTACTCTGTCGCTCTGCTCATCTTTCGCCGACACTGGCGCTGTGGGCCTTGTCCTGGCTTCGGGGCGCGCCGTTGTGCTTTTCGCCCTGCCTCTTTCCTGTGTCTCTGCATGTTTCTGCTCTTTTCTCTGCTTCGAAGAGCGTCTTCATGCGCTGTTGGGCCAAGCATTCCTGAACTTCCCAACCCACACTCATTGTCAGCCAACGCCGTACGCCTCCGCTATTGGCCTCGTGTGTCTCCTTCTTTCCGTGCTGTCCCGCAGCATTCGGCCAACGATCTCCGCAAGCTCGCACAAGCTCCGCGCAAGCACGGCGCAAGCCCCGAATTCGATATGAAGGAATATTTGAGCGGCCTTGTTTATGGCCGCCCAGACTTCTTGGTTTCCGCAAACTCCAGAAATACAGGTTTAAGTTCTGGGTATCCCAGATTTCAGGCATGACACATATGCGTGTCAATCCCCTCGATCCTGGAGATCTTGCAACCCTGCCATGGTCCCTTCCCTTGGACGTGCTCAGCTTTCTCGCTTCAGCAGACAAGGCGCGACTGCAGCAAGCAAGTCTAGCTTGGAACTCCCAAGCTCTTACCAGGCCATGGGGCGTCTTTAGGGTTAAGGGTTTTTAGGCTTTAGACTTTTTAGGGTAGGGGTTTGTCTTAAGGAATTTAGGGTCTGGGGCTAGGGTTTAGGTTTTTTAGGGTTTAGGGGGTTTAGGGTTAAGGGTTTTGGAGGTTTAGACTTTTTAGGGCTTAGGGTTTTTAAGGGTTTTTAGGGGTTAGGGTTTTGGACAAATGGACGTTTTAGGTTTTGAGGTTTATTGGGTTGAGGTTCAGGCTTTGTGTAGGGTTTAGCGGTTTTAGGGTTAAGGGTTTTGGAGGTTTAGACTTTTTAGGGTTTAGGCTTTTTTTAGGGTTAAGGTCTTTTTTGGGTTTAGGGGGTTTGGAGAAATAGTGGTGGATTTTAGGGTTAGGTGTTTTTAGGGTTAAA